GATACCAAAAGTTATGACACCCGTAACCCGTGTACAGTATACGTGCTGTGCCACATGGACGATATAAAATAAAATAATAAGTCGCGGAAGCAAAATCACGAAATCCAAAAACATTTTTAATCAAACCAGAATAAGCAGCGGAAAATACAAGCGATCAGTATCGCAAAACAACACATGTCCGAAAAGTCATAACATAACCGTACAAAATGCGGGAATACAAGTCCCGGAGTTCAAAATAAAATCCCGTACATGATGTTGCTTCTCTCAGGCCGTCGTCGTCCGTGCGCTAGGCGTAATCCTCGTGATCTGAAAAATGTAAAACCACGAGGGCTAAGCACAACTACTTAGTGAGTAGCCCGGGTTGAACCCGGTAAACCAGTTCTCAGCGAGAACGGTGTTAGAATGATGATTCCAATCACATGCAGCAATAGTAACATGCATTATCATATAACGTGCATCACACATATAATAACAATCACAATCACACCCGCATGGAGTCCACCATGGGGCTAGCCATAAACCCTAGTCAAGTCAGCATGACTAGGTGCGCATCACACGCCCGTCACTCGCGTGACGTTGGCCGTCGCATCACACGACAATATCGCCTCAAGCGCTTGTCACGTCACGTGACTACCGATGTCAAGTCCATGACACAACGGAAAAGTAAACACACCCGATGGAGTCCACCAAAGGGTCCAGCCATATACCCTAGTCAAGTCCATGACTAGGGGCGCCTCCACGCCCGTCAAGTCCATGACGTTGGCCGTGTCAAGTCAGCATGACACAATCGATCATATCACCCGTATGGAGTCTACCATAGGGTTCCAGCCATATACCCTAGTCAAGTCCATGACTAGGAGCGCGTCACACGCCCGTCAAGTCCATGACGTTGCCCGTCGTGTCGCACACGACTAATCGCACATCAAACGCCCATCAAGTCCATGACGGTGATGGTTGCGTCCACAACCATCCACAAACACAATCATGCTTGACTCGTACACACGAGCAAACTACACACATGGCACACATCATGTATATATCCCCCAGTACAATCACACGTATCACGGTATCTGGTCCCTTACTGATCTACCGCTTAACGCCATGCAAACTACCCTGTATAATCACGCAACGAGTCACTCGAATCGTTGTATCGCACATCTCACGCACACGAGATTCGAAAATCATCCGAAAAAGGATTCCGTACTCTAGAACGGTCGGTCCAGGGTGTGGACCGGTCGGTCCAGGGGTCCCATGCTGTCCCGGGGCCTCTCGGGACAATATTTGAGTCTGGAACGCAGACCATTCGGTCTGGGGATGCCAGACCGTCCGTCCGTTCCAGCCTTAAAGTCCGTCCGTTCTGGCTCTGTTCGCTCTCGTGAAACAGTTTTCTGGTCCGACTTCGTTTGACCATATCTCACTCATTTCTCCACCAAATTACGTGCCGTTTGTTGCTAAATGTTCATTGAAATGTCCTCTATCTAATCCAAGCAACAAACCATCGAAATAACACAATCACTTTGACGAAAAAGAGCTCACACAGACGCAACTCGAGCCACTCACCTCTGTTTCGGTTCAGATCTGGTTTGGCTGGATTTCGTGGTGTTTTCCGGTCTGTTTCTCCCCGAAAACCTCTCCTAGAAAATCTAGGGATGTCCTTCCTTGCTTCCCCGAGCTTCCCTTGCGCTGGTTCCTCCTCTTTCTCGCCCTTCTTCTCTCTTTCTCCTCTTTCTCTATTTTTCTGAAACTTTGCCCGAAATGGTGAAAGCTACGACTTGGAGAGTGTTTATGCCGCGAGGAGGTGGATTGGGCTCAAACTCAGGCCCAAGGTCGCGCCTGCAACGTCCTGGCAAGGTTAGATGGTGATTTGACGCCGGTGGGGTCCGGAAACGCAGAGAAATACGCGTCCCAAGGCAGCAAGTTGGCCACTTGCATTCTGCCCAGCAGACCGTCCGTTCTGGTCCTGGAACGGACGGTCTGGGCCCAGTTTTGGCCCAGCTCCTAGCTCGTTCGTGGTCCGTCCGTTCTGCCTTAAGCAGTCCGTCCGTTCTACCTCGTCTGGTCCGTCCGTTCTGCATTTCTGGTCCGTCCCGACTGACTTCGATTGCTCCGTTCTCACTCGTTTGTTACCCGAATCACGCACCGTTTGTTTCTACACCTTCCTTGGAACGTCCTCTTTCATATCCAATCAATAGATTATTGAAAACTCACATTTACACAATGAAGTACAACTCGAAACGTCCTACCTCGAATAACTTGTGAATTCCGAATTTCCAGGTTCTACTCAATTTTTGTTTGCTCATAACTTCCTCGTTTCTCAGTCAAATCGAGTGTCGTTTTCTTCTAGATATTCGTTGAAATATTCTCTATATTTTTGCCTTATTTTACCCTCCTTTTATTCCCGAAAATAATTTAAATAATTTATACGGGAATCGGGGTGTTACAGGTTGGACCGACAGGTCCGGACCGAAATGTCTAAACGAACTTGACCTAGAGACCGAGCCGTGTTGACCGATCGGTCTAGGACCCGAGGCTTCACCAAAGTTTTGGGATCTGGTTTGAGCAATCATTGCTTAAACCGGTCAACTGTGATTGATGTCGCAAATCTAGGTGAATAAATTTCGATCAAGTGATAAATTTCTAGACTCAACAAATTCCGCAAGTGCACGGATCGTGTGTAGTAGTTAGGGTCGAACACAGGGACAAATAAACAACTGAATCACTGTCCAATCCAAATCTAGATCTAAAGAAAATATGAGAATGATGAGAATGTATCAAAAGAAAATAGTAAAAACAAACGATAAACTATCAATGGTAAAACACTGCAGGCTTCGGGATTGTTTTACATGCAAGGGTCTTCTCTAAAGATGCAGGCTCTATGGTTTCTAAATCCAATCCAGGGAATTCAAGCTCTAAAGTAGAGATTAACTCTCTCGAGTCTAACCTCACTATCCAGGCTTTATCCTACTAATCTCTCGATTCAATAGTCTAAAACCCTGGATGCATGGAGGAACGCTATCATAATCCCTATGCAAATATTCATCTCTCAATGCAATACATGTTCTATTTATTGAGTTATTTCCAGGTTAGAATCCCATATGTCTATGCGAATTAAAACCCTAAGTTCATTCAATCAAGTGGCCAACAAGATCAAACGCATTAAGAACAACTCAATAAACCGAATCAAATAAATAATACCACATAGTCTGGAATTAAAAACTAAAGATCCCTACATAGCAAATCCTTAACCTACAGCAGAGGAATTACTCGCTAAACATCGAGACGTCGGGGTTCATATCAATAATACAAAACATCGTAAAATAGAAGAAAGGAAGAATGTTTAGTCGATTTCCCGGCTTCATAATCTTCATCTTCTACTCCGATCTCTTGCCTCTTGATAATCGCCCCCTTTTGTGTGCTCTAGGGTGTTTCTCTGTGTAAAGCTTGAATTCTTTTCGACCTAGAGGCTTTCCCCTCTTATTTCACTTCGGTTTGGGCAAAATTGGATGTTTTCCCGAATCTGGGGGTCGAACCGATCGTTTCGGCAAAGCCAACCCGATCGGTTACACTTTCTGAGTAATTTTCTAATTTCTGCGATGCAGAACCGATCGTTTCGCTAAACCCGAGCCGATCTTGTCGTGTTTCTGGCAGTTTTGACAGGCTTCACAAATTTGCTCATAACTTCCTGCTCCGATATCGGATTTAGGTGATCTTGGTTTCTATGTGTAGATATCGAAGAGAGCTTTCCAATGATTTAGAAATGTATGATTTGGACTTGTAGAGTGAAAGTTATCGGACTTACAAGATCTGACGTTCCATGAGCTTCACGTTTTCCCTGGAAACACTCCAAATGTTCTCGTTTTGTCCGTGATGTTCCATAAGAATGCATTTGATAACAAACTTTACTGTCTTCAGCAAACATGGGAAAAGTTCTTATAGAAACTCTTCTACTTGGCTAGACAACATCGGTCTCATGGGTTCCAACCAACGATTTCTATCCCACAAGCCATTCTGGACAATCCAAAAGGTCAAGCAATCAATTCAACAAAACATAACCACGTTCAACGGATCACAGTATTTTCAGGACGTTTCTACTCTCTCATGCCATAGATCATCACATCAATGCTCAAAACGGTTTTATGCACGTGATCTTATATGTCCTAAACACTATATGAGAATGCACAATCCTAACAACAAACTATATGATCCTAATGCATCCTATATGCACATGCAACTAAAAAGTGAAAATAAAAGAGAAAAATGCATGCAACACTATTCTATATGGATATGGTTTGGCGTTAGACGAATCCTCCACCAGACTTGAACTACACACTGTCCTCGGTGTCAATTCTCATCTAGTAGAGGCAACAAATAAGATGAGTCAAGAGAGAAGTAAATCAAAAAGAGAAAAGAATACTTAGCTCGCGACGTTCGTTCACTCGCACTTAAGTCTTCTTACATCTATCGCATAGCTAGCTGCCTTGCCTCCTCAATAGCTCCTCATTAGAACTCAACCTGGTGATAAAGACACAAACCAATATCCGATGCAAAAAGAGAAAGAAAAGAAAGGAAAGAAAAACTAACCTAAAAATTTGGGTTGCCTCCCGGAAGCGCTTGTTTAAGGTCGTTAGCTTGACCAAACCTTCTCAACTACCATACGGGTCTAACAGGCAAAAAGTATCGATCTTTCGCCAACCTGGATCGTGAAGTGTATGAGAATGGTGGTCTGATAGACTAGTGACCTCTTTAACAGAGTGAGAGAGGTCATGAGCGCCCATGCGAGGTGAAAGTGAAGCATTGTATCGTGCTGGGGCCTGAACCGATCGGTTAGAGAATGCAGAACCGATCGGTTCCAAGTTCTGTAACTCCGAAGCTCGAGAAGGGTGCTCGAACCGATCGGTTGCACACTGCGACACGATCGGTTTGAGTTTCTGTTACTTTTTGCTCCGAACTCTGTTTTCGAAACGATCGGTTGAAGGTCGAGAACCGATCGGTTCGACTTTCTATAAAATTCCGGCATTGAGATCATGTCCAAACCGATCGGTTCCCTGGCCTGAAACGATCGGTTCATACTTCTGAGCTGAATCGTCGAGTGTGTTTATGAAGCAGGCAGATTCTGTTAATGCCGGTTGTTTGAGATTTTTGTCCATAGTGAACTCCACCGTCTCATCTCCAATCTTCATGGCCAGTCTACCTGCTCTAACATGCATAACAACATCTGCAGTATTAAGGAATTGATGACCAAGGATGATAGGTACCTTAGGATCTTCGTCCATGTCGAGAACCACAAAGTCAACCAGGATATAGAAGTTCCCGACTTTCAATGGCACATCTTCAAGTATCCCAATGGGGTATTTGACAGAACGATCGGCAAGTTGGAGAGTCATTCTAGTGGGTTTCAGCTCACCCACATTCAGCTTCTTGAAGATCGATAATGGAAGAAGACTGACGACAGCTCCTAGATCACAGAGTGCACGGTCGATGGAAACATTACCCAATTTACAAGGGATTCAAAAGCTACCTGGATCGGACCACTTAAGCGGGAGCTCGTGTCGGATCAAAGCGTTGCATTCGGCAGTAAGCGCCACAGTTTCTTTCTTAGTGACCCTCTTCTTGGTCAGAATATCCTTGAGGTACTTCGTGTACGAGGGAATCTGCAAAATAGCGTCAGTGAATGGCATGGTTACCTCGAGTTGCTTCAGCATCTCAACGAACTTCGCGAATTGGCTGTCTTCGTTGTGCTTCCTCAGGCGAGATGGAAACGGTACTGGTGGTGGTCTAGGAGGAGGAGGCACGTATGCTGGCTCAGGTGTATCATCAGCAGTATCTAAAACTGTGGTTCTCGAGCTATCGCCTTGCTCAACCATCGGTGGATCTCCAGAATCTACCTGCTTACCACTTCTCAAGGTAATAGCATTGACATGCGCACGAGGGTTAGTCTCAGAGTTACCTGAAAGAGACCCAGATGGTCTTTGAATGGCTGATGCTAGCTGAGTAATCTGGTTGTCTATGTTCTTGAAGTGAGCCTCGATGCTTGCGAACTGAGCAAATTCTTGATTCGTCTTCTCTTGACTCTGCAAAAACTGTATAA